GTTACCTATAAACCTGGCACAGACTTTCTAACATGGAGTGTTGATGACGACCACTTTCACACACTGTCCAATGGAAGTTTACGTTGATATGAAACAAACTAAAGACTTAGGAGAAGAAATTTAGCTGAACTAAAAATACGTATCTTCTTGCCCTAGTCGGTGCGGCTCAGTTGGTGGGAGCACAGTCCCGCACACCAGAACATGGCCGGTTCATTCCTGGTCAAGGCACATACCCGGGTTGTGGGTTCAATCCCCTGTCTGGATGCATAAGGAGGCAAGTGATCAATGCTTCCCTTGCACATGGATGTCTCTCTCTCTCTTTCTCTTCCTTCCTCTCTCTAAAATCAATTTTAAATATACATATATATTTTTTTAATTTTAAGTTTTTATTTTGAAAACTGCACATCTTTTAACACGCCACATGATTTGGGAAATCTATTGAAAGACATAGTTAAAGACGTGTTCAACAACTTAGCCACAGGAGCTGCAGTTCAGCATTGTTTATGTTGAACAAAAGACTGGAGATCTCTACAATGTCCAAGAAGAAGAAATTGATTAAACAAGTCACGGTGTATCTATGTATAACTCTTAAAATCATGTTATAGCAAATATTAACCTGGAAGGATGTTTCTGATATACTATTTGTGGAAAAATATATGAATTAAATATAGTACATAATTCATTTCCCTGAGGAAAATTATATTGGAAGATATATGCCTGAGTGTTAAAGAAGTCTATAAATGCACTGGGGTGACACTGGTTAATAAGCTCAGAGAGATTTCAAGTGTTAAAAGGGATCCTGTAAGCACTATGAGGGCAGGAGTCTGGTTTGCTTTCTGCTGTAGCTCTGACACACAACAGTGTCTGACATAATGGAAAAATAAAACAAAAACTTGTTCTTTTTGCTTATCTCCATTTTCTCACTGTTCTGCAATAAATAAGTTATTTGCATAATACATTTTTTTAATTTTTATTTTATTTTTTAAATATATTTTATTGATATTTTACAGAGAGGAGGAAAGGAGAGAGATAGAGAGCCAGAAACGTCGATGAGAGAGAAACATCGACCAGCTGCCTCCTGCACACCCCCCACCGGGGATGTGCCCACAACCAATGTACATGCCCTTGACCGGAAATGAACCTGGGACCTTTCAGTCTGCAGACCAATGCTCTACCACTGAGCCAAACCGGTTTCGGCTGCATAATACATTTTTTAAATGTTCCCTTTAAAAAGAATAATTCAATAGCTAAACTAATTTTTTACAAATAGAAATGGAAATGCCACCTACTTCAGAGGGTGACAGGTTTAAATAATAATTTATGTAAATATGCCTTGTAAAGTCGGAAGCACCGCATGAATGTCAGAAATGAGTTATTTTGTTAAGATCATATATTTCAAAGTTAAACGAGTTCCATATACACTTTGGCTGGTACCCTTCCTCTCAGCAGTTTCACTTCTGGTACTTTGTGTTACCTTAGAAGCAAAAATTTGCAATAATAGAGAACTGGGGCATCCATAAAATGGAATAGTATGTCACAATTAAAATGCATCCTGTAGAAATGTATTTATTGACATATACTATTAACCTCTTTTAAAAAATCCATATATGTAACTTAAGTAAAATAATCTTCAATACAGTTTATTATAGCATCTATGAAGTCAAATATTCAAAGTAATTATGATAATTTTTATCTTTTTAAATTTCTTCATTCATTCTACTTGAATTTATTCAGCTTTTCGCTTTTAAGTCATTTGTTTCTCAAGATTCAATCAGTCAAAGCCATCAACAATATTTTATCTTTTAGTGGCTAAATTAAAAACATTTTATGGATGGCTTTCATCCTCTGAAGGCATACCTGCTTTAAAGCCACACTACAGTGTCAAATTAAGCATGTGTATATTTTACAAACCATGTAATTCCTTTCTACAGTTTAATGTTAGTGGTTTCATATACATATCTTTTGCACTAGTCACTACTTCATAAATCAGAAGCTGAATCTCATTTTCTCTCCTTAAAACAAATGTAAGAATCATTTTCCAAGGCTTTATTTTTCCTACTTTTACAGAGAGATCACAGAAGTAGGGTACAAAGAAGAGTCACTCAGAACTAAATTAATAACAGCCAAAAAAAAGTATTTTGAAATGTGAACTGGATTGGAATTCCTTTATAAACATGGCCAGCAGGCATTTTTTCTCTCTCAGGGATCTCTACTAGAAGTTGAAGAACTCTTACACCTACCAACACATATATGCATTCTTGGAGTGAACACTAGCTCCCTAAAAAAAGTAGTAAGTGCCTCCAATTCCCCAAAGACTACTTCTGTATCTGCTTTCAAAAACTTAGCTAAACCCTTATGGTCCAGCATTATACTAATTAAAGGCACTAATGAAATGTACTCGCCTCCCTTTAACTTGATTTTATAAGAATGCTTACCAACACTAGAACTAAAACATTTCCAACATGTTATTTACAGAATATTGTAATTTGGGAAGCTGATCAATAATGTAATAACAACAGAATTGTACAGTTATGGGAGTCAGCAACATTTTTAAACTACTGTGAAGCTTCCAACTGAAATTAGAGCCCAAGAAAAGTGGAAGGAAGCAATATGCTGAATACAAGAAGATGAAGTCATTATTCGTGTACCCAACAAGCATCCATTAAGGTGACAACACACCGGACACTGAAGAGGCCTGTGGGTGTAAGTGACATGAGGAGGGAGGAAGGGACGTGGTCCAAAGGAGAGCAGGGGAGGTGCCAGGTGAGCAGCAGGGCAGGGCTGGCCAGCCAGCGAGGCAGGCAGCCTCAGCACCGGGAGGAATCCCATCATGCACTCTGAGGCTTTCCTCAGGAACAGTTTAAACCCATAGACCCACTCACTTTCTACTGTGAATAAACTTCCTACAGACTCGGAGATAAAGTGCCACTTAAACTCGTAGTCTTTTTCAAGTTTCTAAGACCTAAGTCTATATTCAGTTTCTGTAAATTACTGATTAATTGTAAATCACTCAATTTTTTCCTCCAGATAATATCTTGCTACAACTGACAGGTTTTTTAATTTTTTTTTTTTTTCCAAGACAAATTCTTTGAACCACCATTTCCCATTTTTAGGGCAGTGGCATGTTGGGGGTGTCGTAGCTTCAACTCAAAGTGGCTCTGTATTATCCTATATAATGAAAGCCTAAAATGCTCGGTGTCGGTTGTCCATTCAACCAATCAAAGCATAATATGTTAATGATATGCTAAGGCCGCGCAACCAATCGCTATGACATGCACTGACCACCAGGGGGCAGAGCGTAAACTGGTTAATCAGTCGCTATGACATGCAGTGATTATCAGGGGGCAGATGCTCCAACCAATAAGTTAGTTTGCTGCTGGGGTGTGGCATTGAATGAAACAGGTTGGACATGCCCTGGAGTTCTCCATGGTTGCTCCCCAGCCCTGATCGTGCACCCGTCTACTCGGCCTGGCCTGCATCCTCTCACAATCCAGGACCCCTCGGGGGATATTGGAGAGCAGCTTTTGACCTGATCCCACAGGCCAGGCAAAGGGACACCACTGGTGCACAAATTTGTGCACGGGGCCTCTAGTCTTTTATAAAATCCTGTCATTTCTACTAATCATTTGATGTTTATTAGTTTGTTGTTGCTACTGTTTTGTTTTTCCTGAATTCCCACACTTTTATTTTAAACCTTTCACTTAAAACCATGTAATTCAAATAGGAGACTGCAGTTAGTACCTCAAGGGTAAATACAGCTCTTCAATTTAACACACAAGCCTAGAAACGAGACTAAGTTCCTGGCTGAATCTTATGGCCTAGACTTATAACTAAACAAAAAATTTAAAAAAATTTCGTAAAAGATCCAAAATAGCCTTATAAATCCATTTTGCTTATATTGCTTTTCACTCAAACTTTCATTAAAAACATGTTCATTGTGAAACCATAATTATTCTCTTAGCCAAGACATAGGGGAGGGCAGCAAAAGGAAGGAGCGACTTGGAAGAGGTGGCATCACAGACCACAGGCGTCAATACTACTGTAAAGTGGGAGAGCTATTTGAACCTCACTATAAGACTGTTTTGATTTTAAAAATAACAATAAAAATAAATCTTACTTGAAATAGATTCATACTTCTCCAAGTAACTGATAATACATTATAAAAACACAATGAATTTAGGCATTATAACACTAAACCCCCCATATTTTGTGGACTACCAACTTATATATCCACTCAGCCAAGCTGTTTTCCTGCTGCTGACTTGAGTTCCTGTTGTAAAACTGTGCCAGTTCCTCCTGGGTGTTCTTATGATAAAAGCAAGCAGCTTTCCCTAAGTTTTTGCCAAGCTTTTTCACATAGTATCTTATGAAAAAGCCACAGTGTTGGAGCATACCACAATGACCAGACAGGAGAAAAAAATATTTCAGAGAATTATTTTGATGGTTTAAATAATGGGGGGTTGAGGGGGGATTCATTAAACATAAGATGCTAATTAAATAACATGCTAATTGAAAATAATATGCTAAAGAACACATTAAATACAATTAGCTAATAACATTCTAAATTTGATATAATCTGATGCCATACACCAGGTTTACTGAATACTGAGTTACTAATTTTTTTAAAAGTTGGATATGCATTCTGTTTTGTATACCAGAGACTTAAAATGCAAAATCAAACGAAAGAAAGACTAGCACACAATGATGAGCTCAGGGAAATGTACCGGAAATGGACAAGGATGGAGAAGTTTGACAGCTTTAAAGAACTTTCTAACACAAGGCATGCCAGTCACTTGAAGCAGATATGCTATTGTTTTCTCACCAGAACCTAACTGAAAACCATTCACACCGAAAGAAAAGACACCTTGGATACATTCTTACAAGTTCATAGTACCTCTTCATGCACATGTGACTTTGGAAGTTTTTTTTTTAAAGTGATAATACCACAAGCTGGGAATGAGTCACAGTAGCATGATCTACCTGGAAGGCGACAGACCCACCTGATTGATGGAGTTGGCAGCACAGGACGCCAGGCCTGTTCCCAGGGAAGTGAGCAGGAAACAGGACAAGTCGAAGGGCCCCGGGGCCAATGCAAATCCCGCCGAAGTGGTGCTGACAACTAGAGCTGAAACACAGAAGCAGAGCAGGCATCTCGTTACCAACACAGGCCCCACACTGCAAAGGGCAACCAGCCATCCCCCAGGGAACCCAACCGAGGCTAACCTCCCATTGAAAACCAACATTTCCCCCATTATAAAAATTATGTATGTTCATCACAGAAAAATGCTCATTTGCCTTTAATTCCATTATACAGGAGAGGAAAAAATAAGAGAGGAAGAGAAAGGGACAGAGTTAGAAACACTGATGGGAGAGAAACATTGATCAGCTGCCTCCTGCATACCCCTCCCTGGGGATCGAGCCCGCAACCAAGGTATATGCCCTTGACCGGAATCGAACCTGGGACCTTTCAGTCTGCAGGCCGACGCTCTATCCACTGAGCCAAACCGGTTTTGGCAAGGTGGATGTTTTAGATTGAATCACTCTCATTCACTCAACGAACATTTATTGAATACCTACTTCACAACCAGTACCATGCTGGGCATTAGGCATTGTGTGGGATGAAGGAATGAACAAGGTCTCATTCCTGCGCTCAGAGCTTATTTGTCAGGGAGATGACAGACATACAGTAGTAACTGTATAACACAAGGCAGCAAAGAAGTAGGCCCTGCTCAGTGGGTCTTAATTCCACCTGAGCAAAGGGCTTGCTGGTAACAGATGGTGCCCCAGGGCCCAGAAGATGACTAGAGAATGACTACAGCCACCAACAGAAACAGAGAGAAGAGGCAAGATGCAGAAGCAAAGCCCTGCAATCCAAGCATCCCCGGTAACTGCCCCTGGTCCTTTTCTCCTGGGGGTTCACAGAAGCTCAGGGCCAGGAAGTGTCTGGTACTGATACAGAAACTGAAAAAATGGCCACCGTTGGTGAATTAACTGGAGAAGAAGACTTCAAGAAGATGGCATTTAAGCGGGACCTTCAGTGGGATGTAGAAACAGGAGAAGAGTGGGATGGGCTACATTATAGGTGGCTGGATAATTCCACGAACCAGCACAGGGGCAAGCAACTCTGTCAGATTCTAAAGCACCTGTGACATCTGTCTAGATTGTCAAACCAAACAGCGAGGAGGCATTTTTTAATCTCTCCTTTCTCTCCATCCTCTCCATCCAATCCACTGCAAAGTACTGTTCTCCTCCAGAGTGCATGTCAAACACACCTCTGCTGCCATCCTCTCGTCCCAGGGTTCACAGCCAGGGGTGGTGCTGCCATGGGGACAGTCAGCAATGCCTGGAGATAGAGCTGGTTGTCACACTGGAGGGGAGGATACTGCTATGCTCCAGTGAGTGGATGCCAGGGAAGCTTATAAACATCCTATAAGACAGCCCCAAACAAAGAATTTTCTGGCCCCAAATGCCATATGCTGACACTGAGAAACATGTCATCTACCCAAGCTATTATCTTGCCTGGACAACTGGAAGGGCTTCGTTCCTAATTGCTCTCCTCTTTCTTCCACCTTGCTCCAACAGGAATATAATGACATTTTAAAATGTACACAGATCATATCACTCTGCTGCATGGAAAATCCTTTGACACTACACCTAGAATGAGATGCAAACTCTTCCCCCAGCCACACAAGTGCATCTGGTACCTCTCTCTAGCTCACTGACTAGTCTCCCCTCACAGGGATCTTCTGTTTTTAAGCCAAGCTTCTTCTTGACGTAGGGTCTGTGCAGTTCTGTCTCCCCTTCCTCTCTTACCATCAGCTCCTTCATCTCCTCCAGATCTCAATGTAAATATTATGCCTTAGAGAGAACTCTGATCCTCATGTCTTCAGTGGTCCTCCCAGTGACTCCTCCCTCACAGCATCCTTCATCATCCCACACAGCACTCATCATGCTGTGGTCCCGCATGGAACATGAGTCCCTGGAGGGTGGGCACCCTGACCTGCTCTCTGCCATATTTTCAGGGTTACCACTAGGCCAAGTACAGAGTAGAATTTATCAGAGGAAGAGGAGGAAGGGTGGCAGCTGTCAGATTGCAGAATACCAAGTTGAGGAGTTTGCATTTCATTTGATTGGCAGTAGAGACCGTCTAATCAAGAAAATGGACCCATAACTGCAAGTTTAGCCTGGTAGCAATGGCACCAGGACTTACAGCAGGCAGTTATGCCGAGAAATAATCTCAGTCTATGCCATTCACCCACTGTGCATAAATGTAGTATGGGTGGGAACCAGACAGATGAAAGGGTATTTTGATGGAACTACTGTTAGGACTTCATAACAGTGTAAGGTGGAAGATAAAATAATGGTATAAAAGGATAAAAGGTAATTTTTACACCAATGGATGAAGACAGGGGCTGGGGGTAAGGGTATGGGGTGGAGTTGGGGATTAGGTGGAGGGGAGCTATGGGAGAAGAGGGGGGAAAGAGAAACACCTGTAATAATCTGAACAATAAAGATTTATTATTTAAAAAAAAAAAGGATAAAAGGTAAAGGGCTGCACCTGGGTGCATGAAGAATGGCCACACTGAAAGAAATAAGGAAACTAGGGGGAGGTGACCCAGCTGGCTGGGCTCAGGAAAAGGCGCTGTCTTTGAGGAACTGTGGGCCATCCAGGTAGGAGCATAAGAGCATTACCCTGGAGCCCAGGAAAGAGATGGAGAAGGCGGGAGGCCCAACTCTCTGGGTCCTAAGCCCACAGACCATAGTTGAGCCCGAGAGAACAGCCAGCAAAGAGAGTGAAGAGGAGTGTATCAGAAACACCAGAAGTTTACCTTTGGGCATAAAGGAATCCCAGACAAAGAATATTTGGAGAAAGGATCAGGAGAATGAGGTGTCCTGGGTGTCAAACGCGTGAGGGCCACTGGAGGCAGACTGGAAGGCACCACCACTGACATCAAGAAGCAAATGTAAACGTGAGAGAAACTGACATCCCTTCTAATGACCACACATGCCCTTCAGTCCAATTTTATCAGCAACATCCAGAAACTTTTAGTCCTTCCATTGGACACGCCTTGTCCCTAACACCTAGGGCAAGCACAGGCTTCTGCATATTTCTATTTATTAATATTTGATTGGGATCAATATGATTTGCTAAGGTGACTTAAATGCATATGTGGAGATTGCCAATCTAAACCAGAAGTTTCTAGAGAGTGTGTATTTGGCAAAGAGGTCCTTCCTTGACCTTGGTGGTCCTACACATGGTGTATACCCGAGCCTCCTGGGGAAGTGTTGGCTCCAGAAAAGAGGACTTGAGTAGAGTGAAGAACAAGGTCCAGAAAAAAGAGAAAAGGTGGGGAGACAAGCAGAAGACGAGCAGCTAAAGGCAAACAGGGGGCTTATGGGAAGTCACAGAGGCACACACAGAAGAGCCTGCCTGGCCCACACACCGCACTACAAGTCACAACACAACCCTCTTACCTCCGTGCAGAACGGCAGCAAAACCCCGTGGACCAGGGCAGCAATCCAAGACTAAACACTATTTCAAAAGAAACATTCTAAAGAAACGTTTAGCTCTCTAATTCTCTAACGACTTATCCCAAAATTAAAGCCACAGCGATTCCCGCTTTGGGAACAGCAGTTAGTGCATATAAAGGGTATCTTATGCAGATGAGATGGGACAAGAACAGCCTGTCATGGAACAGCCAGCCCTGCACACATGTAGTGACCACCAAGAAAACAGCTTTTGTAAGAGAGCAAACAAAGGTCCTGTTAGGTAGTCAAACAGCGCCGTTCTGATATCACCCGGTAACGCGCAAAGCCTCAGGGACGGGCTGCAGGCATCCTCTGCACCACTGCACAGCCTCCAGGTAGCTGGCCACTCTGCATACGCTGCCCTGGGTGTGGACAAGCCAGGGTTGGAAGAAACGTCCTAATACCCAGCCACACCTCCGCGGTACAGACGGATGATGCCCCCAGGAGAGGCTGACGGTGTCAAAGGGAGACTGAGAGAAAGCATTCCCTTTCAAAATGAACTAAGAAAATTTCTTTCATCCATAGAATAAGTCAGTCAAAATAATTCATGACTATTTTAAGGCCTTAAACCTTACATCAGAAGTAGACTACTTACAAACACCTTTTAGAGCATAGAAAATCCTTTCTCGATGTATAATTAGCAAAAGCTAGAGTCACCAAAATAAAGAACAACCTCTAAATACCCAAATAAAGAATACCTTTAAGTATCCAAGTTAAATTTTGTATAGTGTTTTATAAACAAATAAGAAAAATCAATTAACACCTACTGGACAAGATGGCACCATAATCATGAAGCTGTCAAAATAAAAATGCTGTAAAAAGAAAATTCCACTTTGTTTAAAATAAAAAAGAATATGTAGTTACAGGAAAGTGAAACTCAATTTATTTTTTTCTTTATATTCACCTTAGGGCTTAAATGAGCGATGAACAATATACAAAGCACATCAAATTTTAACGAATGGAGTCAGCTAATAAGTTGAGAGATAGAAAGTAATTTACAAAAAACTGACCATGGCGAAAGGTAAGACATGATCATAAATTAAAAACAAACAACCCCTCCCCCCCAGAAATTACTGCCTAATTTAAAAATGTACAAACTGTGAACGGTAATGTACATTACAAAATTATAGGGGTGATTATTATAAGCCAAGGAAACTGGAATTTTGTAGAACATTTCCAAAAAAAGATCAAAAGCTAACAAAGAGCGTATTTATCCTTACTGCATCAAAGCAATTAAGGTAAAGAAAGGGAAGGGCGGAGGATTGATAAATTGTGCAAGTAGAACTGACCAAAGCAATACTCTCACACGGCACTGCCACAGCTGTAATTAAGCTTCTCATTGATTTCCTGGGATTCATTACAGGGAATCATTTTACAACACCCGGATCTCATTAAAAAAGAATGTAATACATTCTTTCATTAATAACATTGAAATTATATTTTATTTGGTAATCTCATAGTCTGTCTCTTCACAAGTAAACATAAAATCAATGCTGCCCGCGAAGCATGACCCGTCTGACGAAGGCCCAAGGAGGAGTGGCCTTCCCAGCCCCACGGAGAGGGCCTCCTCCTGTCCTCGCTCCTGGCCGGTGTCCC